ATAGGAAATATAAGAACTGCTTTACCTAGGTTTTATTTAATCCCTCCAGAATTCAAGGAAGAAATAGGACAGAGTACTTTTTTTGATACTTGAAGAACTGAAGTTACAGGCACAAATATACTGCAAAGACAATGTGGCATCTAGCAAATATCACAAGCTTCTTCCAGTGCTTTTGAGATCTCTGTTTAGTATCTGTCTTTCTCACAGCATGATAACCATGAAAATAGTGAGAGTTAGTCTTATTCTGCCTTGCAGAAATAGTGTGATTGACAAAAGAAATTACAGGACTAATGACAGTTTACATAAACTTTTATTTTATCATTTATATAAGTTTCCCCCACAAATTTCAAAGTTACAATTGTTCAGAAGAAATTATCTTCTAAGTGTCTGAAACAACAAATAAATATAGGGTGAAGTTAATAATAATAATAATACCAGTTACAGTAAGAAATTATTAAAAGCAAGTAATTATGCAGCTATATGGTCACTGTACAAAGGATTTTCAAAACAATTTGAAAGATTGTCTTTCATTCACTTGTAAATTAAAATACTGGATACATTAAAAAGTGTGTGTAGGGCTTCAAGTCATCCACTTAACTGTTGAAAATTGTTTGTGTTTCAATGTGTTTCAATGAGCACAGGAATATATACAATTTTGCCTCATTTATGTTGTGACTCAAAGACTAAGTTACTCTGCTAAAAATCCTGAACAAAGAAATACCTGTAATTTCCTCAAAATTACAGTCTTTTAATCTTTTTTTTTTAATTTTTTTATTTTTTTTTATTTTTTCAGATGAGCAGGGGAAATCCAAAGGTGTCTGAAACTCTTCTATCATTCAATGTCCTTCTCTCACCTTTGAGCTTCCTAAGAAAGGCTATACTGTTATTTGAGCATTTGGGACGTTTATGAACATGTTACCCTCACTGCTACTCTTCCAGAAGATGACCTACCTTTGCCATTACAGAACCAATCAACTGAGAATTGACATGAGCTACAAATAAAAGTGCCCTAATTCTCCTATGTCTGCATGGGAAGTGCCAGACAATGAAGACTTTGATGATCCTGTCTGTCCAGGAGCCGAAAGGTGAAGTTACCTCTGACATTACTAGGGAAGAAGCACATACTCAGATGATGAGAAGAGATAATACAGAGCACTGAAAAAAGCTGAAGCTCCACCAATTAACATTTTCCCTTTTGATTTCTCATCTTTTGTACTCATAATCTGTCATACAATAATCTATTTTGCTCTCACTCTCTTGCTGTCTCCGTCCTGCACTTATTATGTATCTTGCTTGTTTTCTTCCTCAGCTTTCTTTCTTTCCTTTAGGGTGTGTGAGTTACTTCATGCCTTACCCTTATGCAGTGTGATCTTCTTAGGCTTTGCTCAAAACATGTTGGAAAAGAATTGGTAGCTAACTCCCCCTATACCATCCAATATGATGTCTGTCTCTTCTGTCTCTGAATCTGAGCACCTATGTATGAATGCAGAAGTTGAAATTTAGAAGTCCTACAGATGTGATTTCTGCAGACACTGGTTTTGACAAAATACGTACCTTCAGGGCAACTTTTTGCACACACACACAAAAACAGGCAGGAAGCCAAGTTATGTTTAAGTTAATGTTTTTACTGGGAAAGATCTTATTTCTACACAGGTCTCCTTTTAAGCCCCTTAAAAAATGGTTTAGAAATCAATATGAATATTATAATTACTTGTACCCTTTACTGTGTTTATGCTGCAACAATCTGCATTATTTGACTAATACTTTTATCAGAAATTTCCTGCTTTCTTGGAGGAGCTTATGTTAACTGCTCCTAAGCTTTCACAAACACATATATGCCATCATTATGAACTGCCCATAGTGAAATCTAGATTCATTCCAAACAAAACTTTGCAACTACTTGAAGATAAGTTCTTTACCAAGAGAGTAGCGGGGTGCTGGAACAGGCTGCCCAGAGAGGCTGTGGATGCCCCATCCCTGGAGGTGTTCAAGGCCAGGTTGGATGGGGCCCTGGGCAGCCTGGTCTAGTATTAAATGGGGAGGTTGGCAGCCCTACCTGTGGCAGGGGGGTTGGAGCTTGATGATCCCTGAGGTCCATTCCAAATCAAGCAATTCTACGATTCTATAACTGAAATTAAATTTTTTCTCTCTAAGCTTAGCATAGCATCTCCCCTATGAGGAAAGGCTGAGCAACCTGGGTCTGTTCTGCTGTGAGAAAAGAAATTTGAGAAGGGATCTTATTAATGTTCATAAAAATCTGAACTGTGGGAGTCAAAGGGACATGGCCAACCTCTTTTCAGAGGTCTGTGGGAATAGAGCAAGGGGAAATGGCCATAAACGGGAGCATAGGAAGTTCTGCACCAATATGCAAAGGAACTTCTTCATAGTGAGGGTGACGGAGCACTGGAACAGGCTGCCCAGGGAGGTTGTGGATTCTCCTTCTCTGGCAATATTCAAGACCTGCCTAGATGCCTACATGTGCAGTCTGCTGTAGGGAGACTGCTTTGGCAGGGGTTGAACTCAATGATCTCTGGAGGTCCTTTCCAACACACACAATTCTGTGATTCTGCTCCTTAGGCCAAAAGAAAGATTTCTAATTAAACCAGCAACTTACAGAAATACAGAAAAGCCTTCCTAATGGAAAGGAACTTTGTTCTAAGTGCTAGCATTCTTTTTTACACCACACTGCAGCAATTTCTCAGAAAACCTTGGATTTTTTTTTTTTTTTTGAATTTTCAATGAAAATAACTACAACCCTACATGATTTATATAATCTAATCAAGATAGTGTTACTATAGGATGAGCTGTGAACTTAACTTCTTTCCCAATTTTATTTACTTTGTACAGCTGGCAGTACCCCTAAGTAGTGTAGGTGTGTATGGAATAGTTGGGACACTTCAGAAGCATCTGATAAGACAAATTTCAAACTTATTTCATCTTGCAAATTGGTAAGTTCAAGATGAAGGAAACAAAACCAACTTCTAGCTTATAAACCAGCCTTAAATAAGAGAGAAAAGCACCTACTATTAGATAAAATTCATGACTTGAAAGAATCACTGACTTGGGTAACTACTTTGTTCCTACTAGCAAATGTATTTTTTCCCCTTGTACAAATGCATTTCAATCTTATTTAATCATTCGTCAAACAGCAAGAAGGATTTAGTAAACTGTTCATGAAACACATTTTAAATCGGTGTTATTAACGTGGCAGTTAGGTTACCTCGTTAGTTATAGAAAGAAAGGCAGACCAGAAAGTAGACTAGAAGGTAGTCCTCTAGAAACTTGCCTTCCAGTAATTCTATCTACTTTCCCTCTTAGGTTGCAAGATGCATATTACTGCATAGATAATATTCTTACTTAACACAATGCAAGGAAAGCTTTGGAGGGAAGAGTTTGAAAAACAACACAGGAATCCCTGTCAAATGTCATGTTTACTAAGTAACATGACTAGATTGTTTATTCATTAGGGGGACAAGTGAAAAGAAAGGCAACTGATGTGATAGAGCCTGCTCAGGATATGCTGCTGAGTAGCTGCATGACTGATGACTCTGCCTGAAGAAGGACAAAATATCTGCGTTATTCTGGGTTAAATAAACTCATACATCTTGCTTGTTCCTGTTCTCAGACAGATCATAATTTCTTTCCCTAAGACTGGGAAATGGACAGCACACAGGGGAGAGAAGATAGATCAAACCAGTTTATACTGCAAGGAGAAAATAAACTACAAGAAAAATGTTTTTTTTTTATCTGGATTTTAAAATTTCTTGTCTGGATTTAAGTATTTAAAAAAATCACATTTCAGTGCAAACTCCAATTAAATACACATACATTTCTTCAAACAGATTGACTGTGAGACATCAACCAGATACTGTACAAGAGAATGGACTCAGTCCTGTGTCAATCATAACAGAAGATCGAGCCACGTATGAAAGTCAAATTTTCACTCCACCTGAAAATGTTCATATAATTCCAGTTCTAGTGCAAAAGATTATGTGCTGTGTTTCAGACTCACAAATATGTGATTCGTCAAGGAAATTGCAATTCATTTCTAAAGCCAAAGGAATCCATGTGTAGGAAAGCATTACAGGACACGCTTTCATGAAGTGAGACATTTTACGGAGATGTCTTAGTTTCTATAAACATTTGAAGAGTTTTGTAACAAGCATTTTAATATTTTTGTTTAAATCCACACTGGTTCTGAATTCAAGGAACTAATTCTCCACAGCAAAACATGAAATACTAACATTTAAATTCATTTTTCAGTAAAGTTTAATATTAAGAAAAGTCTTTTTCCTGTTATTTCTAATTGTAGAACTACTTTTAGAGAATTTGCTAATGCATCTTTCTTGGGAGGAACACAGATGCTGATTACTACTTCAGTGATCACAGGAAGCTAGAAAGGTTTGTGTCATTCTTTACTGAATTAACTTGAATATTCCACTGTTAGAGTCTGCCTAGATTCCTATATGTGCAGCCTGCTGTAGGGGGCCTGGTTGGCAGGGAGGTTGGACCTGATGATCTCTGGAGCTCCCTTCAAACCCCTGCAATTCCCAAATTTCCAAAGCATTTCCCAAAGTGGCTCCTCAGCAGGTCCCCGTACTTGCCAGAATCTATCTTCAAGCCTCATATTCCCACATTAAATTTGAGCATGCTTGTGCTTAAGCATATCTGTTCTGTTCAGATAACAACAATCTGATTTGTAAGCCTGAACATAAACCATTTAATGAGATTTAATTATTGTCTGAGTCTTAGCCTTGTTTTTTCTGCTCAGACAAACAATGGTTATTACTAAAGAAAACACAAGAAATAGAGTATCTATATTCCACAGGCAATCATCTTTTTTAAAAAGGAGGAAACTTAGAAAATTATTCATCACAAGAATCACATTCAAGCAAAGTAACATATCAGCTTCTTCATGATTCAATTTCGGGGCTATGATCTATTCTTCTATTCTTCTTTTCATCTATTCATCTTTTTATTATTTTGTAACTACAGTGACTTTGATCTCATTGATTTGGATCTGAATTGGAAAGAGCAGACTAGCCCTGTTCTTTCAACTGCATCTAGCTCTGACACAACAGCTCATGTGGTACAAAGCGCTGGTGAGCAACTCTCGAAATTTGGGGTTGCTCCAGATTAAGACCATAGATTGTCCTGCAGGACAGGCAGCCACTACAACAACACATACAGCTTCCTCAGTGCTCAAAGACACGAAAGTGTCAGATAAAATGAGAATCAAAGCAATCACACTTGTAATATACAGGAGGAGGAAGGAGAAGACTGTCTTGATGGAACCAATAAGAGCTCCTAAGCAGGGATCCCTGAAGCCAGTTGCATTATTTTGCATGTCTGGTGTGCCTCCACAGAGATCCAATCAGCAGGACACTTGAAAAAACAAACATTATTGAAGGCAAAGCTATACCAACATTACAGAAAAGGATCAAAACCAAAATCTTAGCTTTCCTTGTGGCTCTCCTTTCTGAAGAGTTTGTCATGGTAAAAGGAGTGGTGAAGTTGCCATGTGTGTTGCAGTTATCCCAGGAGAACGGAAGAGAGGTTGCAAAGGAAAATAGAGATGATGCTGTCAGCATCCTTGGCTTCAGACAGATGAGAATGACTGAGTAAAACTGGCAACCTTGATACAACAGAAGACACTAAGCCAGGCAGCAAAGCAAAAACTAGAAGAGTTCAGGAATATAAAAACCTGTAACTGTAAAGGTTACAAATAAATTTCCTTTATGAGAGGAAGGTTGACAAAAAAGACTTAGGAAGAAATCCAGCATCATCCAGAACTGAGAAAAGAACCTGGATAAACCCAGAAAGATCACAGTCACCTCATAGGAGGACAATATTTTGCTCCTGATGCAACTAGTTGAACTGACAGCCAAGATAGTCCCATTTCCTAGAAGTCCCATCATTACTCAGTTATAGCAATTATTAGACAAAAAGAAGAAAATAAACTGGACATTGCAGTTCTTAAGAACTCACAAGTTTCACTCAGCTTTTCATAGGCTCCTAAAAGCTCTAGCTATGCTAAGGAATATTAAACTCAGCTAGATGTTCTCATCACATGGTCACATACTTATCTCAGAGGAGGAACTCTCATATTAAGCCCTTAAATATTTACTTTATTCTACATTTTTGATGATTAATAGTCAGCTGCTATCTCAAAGTATGCAAATATGATAAGGATTCTCTTACTGTCGTTTCATATTAGAGAAAGAATTTGAATTTAAAGGGCTCGATGCATTTTTAAGTTTTTAAGTTTTAATCCACGGTCAGTTTTCACAGAGCCCTCGGAATTTATGTATGCAAAGACAGAGAAGTTTCCAAAAGCTTGCAGACTTTTTCATGTCAGGATTGCACCCCATACGTATATGCAAGGGTAGGAGAAAAAAAAACACATTTCTGTCTCAGAAAATGCAAGAAATGGAAGACATTTTCATAAAGTATAGAGTGAATTAAATTTTGTATACAAGCCCCTGAAGTCTCTAGAAACTGCTTGAGGAGACTAATCTAATTGCTCTTGCCCAGTATCATGAAGTTAACAGTATTCTACTTTCTTCACATGTGCAACTGTTGAGTAAGAATTGTCATGGTGGGCCATAGGCTTGCAGGAAGGACATTCTGACCTTGGCTTCTGCTTGACTTTTCCTAACAAAACAAAGGATGTAGGTTCAACCTTACCTCTCAACCATACCTGTAAGGACCAGCCAAACGAAAGCCAAATGATGCAACAGGTATAGATTACAGTGATTACATCTCATTTCTGCCAGATAATTGATGGAGAAGCACAGATTTCCATGTCTAGATCCCATTTTTTATATACTCACTATGCTGGAGCATAACAGTCAATAGATTATTTATCCTGGCTGGAAGAAAATAAGACTAGATCTTCCAACTGTCTGTTAGAGATTCTAACTGCCATCTAGTAGAGGAAGAAGATAGAGGGATCTCATCTGTAAAGACAGAGAAATTACCAAAAGCTTGCACACTTTTTCATGTCAGGATTGCTCTGCTCTCCTGCAAAGGAAAAAAATACCAGATTCTCCTAAGCAATTTGAAATCCAGACAAGCACAGCCAATGCTGTGTGGGAGAAATGGCACAAGTGTTCATAGAGTCTGTGTCTTGCCCCAGGATGTAATGTACATATTTTAAAAATGCTGCTAACTTGCTCAAAGTAGGGAATTCAAACACTTTCCAGATATAAGAAGGAAAATTTTAAGTGTTCTTTAGATTGAACAGATTTGGTGCAGTGATAAAGCTTGAGAAGGATCTCTTGCAAGTAGGATAGGACATTAAGGAATGAGTACAAAGGAGTTTTAGAAATGAATTCACAGAGATTTCTGGAAGCAGTGCAGTAGAGTATGCGGGCAGATTTCAAAGCAGATGTTTTGAAGTATTTTTTTGAAGAGTGTTTCTTTGTCTAGTTAGATTTACACATATTGCAATGCCATCCATGGTTGTCTAGGACAGCGGTCTCCAAATGTTTTTCACTGTACATGCCTGTCAGTACAAAGTTTCTAAGCATGCAACTGCCAATATAGGCGAACTTACTGCTCAGTATATAATTGCACCACTGTAAATAAGTACATATTCTACTTGTTTACATTAAAAAACATACAGGAAAAAGAAATGAAGATGAAATATTTTAATTCTTAATATAAAAAAATTGTTATCACTAAAATACTAATAATGCTTGCGAGAGTAGTGTGACTGAATACGGTTCATCATTTCTGACAGTCTCTATTTAAACACTGTGTCATCCAATGATTCAAAGGTGTGGCTGTACTTTCAAGTAATTTCCGTGCTTAGTTTTAATTGACACCTCACAAATACTAAAATGGAAGAAGAGCATCTTTGCATGCAGGTGCTGAATCACAGCGCTCATTTTTCAATTCCATTCATCATTTATGCACAGGTTTTTGCTGAAATTCTGCTAATACTTTCTGTCTTCCCCAGCACAAATCGGTTATTCTTGCATGCTAATCCCAGAATCACACAGAATCACAGAACTGTAGGGGTTGGAAGGTACCCCTAGAGATCAATGAGTCCAACTCTTCTCTGCTAAAACTGCTTCCCTACATCAGGTCACACAGATATGTGTCAGGATAGGTCTTGAATATCTCCAGAAAAGGAGGTTCCATAACATCTTTGGGCAACCTGATCCAGTTCTGCAACACTCTGACATGCAGACAAGGGACTGCATTTTTGGCTAATTATTCAAGCAAGGCAATGAGGCACTTGTATCTTCCCACTACCATAAGAGAATTTCTTTATGTTTTTAATAATTCCGTGGCACAGAACATATCAGGTATATAGGGAAAGAGGAAGGGAATTTGTTTTCTGCTTGCAGTTGCAGTGAATGAGGGCAGCTCCCGGCGGCTCTAAGAACCGGATTCTCCGCAGCAGCTGATGTTGCAAGTGCTTCAAGGGTGAGGCGAGCCTGCGAGGTTTGGCAGGCTGTATTGCTGCCATTTCCACGTAGATAGTTCTAGCTCCCTCTCGTGGAGAATTAACTAAGGAAAATGTTTTCCTCCCGAACAGGACTTGCCAGTTACACGCTCATGTGTCCGTTGTTGTCCGTTGTCCCCATTTCCCAAAGCTAATTTCAGTGCTTCTCAGCTCCCCTACCATCAGCCAGCTCCAGCTGAGGAGATGGAAGATTCCTTCTTCAACAGCTCCGTCCTGGCCACTCAGAACCCAGCCAGATGACAGCTTGCACTGGGAAAAACTGAACCAAACACCTTTTTCTGAAGACGGTATTTGTGCTTCTCTCTTTGGTTTCTTTCTGAGTTGTTCCAAACGTGTAGGTCCCTCTGAAACTACTGCCTCCTACTTGTTTATATGAAAATAACAACAGATACAAGCAGCACAATAACACCCTTTGGTAGAGCATATTCTCAGCTACAAATGATGTTTCAACATAGTCACCACCAATAGCAATGCGTTTAGCAATGCGTTTTTGCCAGCGACGAACAAGAGCCTGCACACCACACTCATTAAAATCTGCATGGCCATCCAGAGCATGGCTTGTCTTTTGCATCGCTGTCAGCACTGCTGAAACACACCACAGACTGCATCACTGCGTTAATGTTCAGCTCTTAGCTCTCTGTAAGCGTTCAGCAAGTGTTGAAGAATATCAATGGATGCCATTTTTTCTGCATGTAGGAATTCAGTTCCACACTTTTCCTTCCTACACTCTCCCATATCAGAAACCAATTTGACAGACTGCCCCTCTTCTGCCAACTGTTCCACAGGAAGAAAACAGAATGGAATCTTGGTGCGAAGGTTCAACCTCTACTGCCGTACCAACA